CCTGCTGAAGGAAACTCTGGTTTCCCAGCTGGGCTGTGATAAGCACAACGCTGAGTTAAAAACAAGAGAATTTACTACAAGATGAGCTACCTAAAACTGTGTCGTTGTACAAACTCCCAGGAGTGTTGCCAGTCAAGGATGTTTGTAATCCTCCAAATCAGAAATTCATTAGGGATTAATTTTTGTCTGGACAAACTGAATGCAAACCTGTTGGACCAGGCTGGAAGAAAAGCCCTTCTCCCATGGCATGTTGGGAATATACCACCTCGGGTTCTGCCCAGTTCCTCTGATTGGGGTTTATCAGTTCAGTGATGTTTTACTGTAAAAATATATCATAGGATCATGAGTTTTATCTAACTGCTCTTTTTGTTTGATGTGCTCCTCTCTGCTGCTTTTCAGGGGTTCTTGTGCTGACTTTCTTTGTGAACAGATTTCACGTGAACACCATCACCAGCAAAGACCAGTTCATTATAGCGTACGGGGGTCTCCGAGGAGCCATTTGTTTCTCTCTGGTTTTCTTGCTTCCCAACTTCCACAGAAAGAAGCTCTTCATTGCAGCAACGACTGTTGTCATCCTCTTCACTGTGTTTGTGCAGGTAAAAACAATCTTGGTGTCACCAGCAGATGTAAAGAAGGGGCAGGATTTTTTTCCCAGACAAATAACCGGTGCTAAAGCTTTAGATGGGTACAAGGATTTACCAGTCATAAAAACTTTCCCTGGGTTTTCAGCTTTTTGAGTGGCTAGGCATATAAAAACTTAAAATGATTACTGAGAGAGGTAAAGTTGTGAGAATGTGTCACACATTCATGAGGTGGTCTAGCAGTTGTTGACTTACAACCTGTGCTATAGCATTTTCCATGATAACTCGTCCCATCTTCGATCTGGTCCATCTGTATTGGGGCAGCAGTGGTGAAAAGTGGGAAGTATGGTGCTGGCATAGGTTTCCTCTCTGAAGCAGAGCTTTTACATGTTTTATGTGAGAGCGAAGCCAAGACAAATCAACCTCTACAACTAGTTTGCTGTTTGAGGAAGGTAGGAACCACTTGTTCTTGTGGGCCTTGTCATGAAATGAAATGCTGCCTGAGGCATGCAGTAACGAAGGTCCATTTTCCTGGTCCCAAAGGTGAAAAGATGGAAGGCACTGGAGGCACTCCAAGCCCTCTGAGCGTGGGCAGC